TTTTCCTCTTCACGGGTGAACTGGCTTTTGGTGGTCGCCCATGGCGGTCTTGAAGCTGCTGTCATTGCTTTCTTTCCCTGGCTCGTCGTATAATTCTGGCGAGTGTTGTTCTTACAACAGCAATGTTCTCTTCTTGAAGAATGATAATGATCTCAGTTGGAGTTTTGTTAGTGTTAGCGAGAGCAAGTATCCTATTTCTTGTGTATTCACCATACATGTTTAGGTTTAATTTGATGTCAACTGAATGTTCACAGATGTTCTGACAAAGTTATGGTTACTAAGGTAACAAATCTGAACCAATCCTGGAGCCGAACGATTCTCGTCCCCAGAGTCCGTGCTCCTCTGAGCGTTTGTCTCTGGACAAGAATGGGAGCTGAACAAGCAAAATAATCTGAAATAATGAAACCTGTGTGTACTTCGAGCCTCTTCTTTAGACATAATTCAGATTTAGCGAGTTACCAAGTGATGCTCCTCGAATCTGTTTGAGAACTTCTGAAATTACAAGCAGAAATCTCACAATTTTAAATAAACGTACATGCAATCAAATCAAGATATTCGTATGTCAATAAGGTAAACATAAGCTTACATAATTGAAATGAATCAAAACGCATGGAGAAGACTCGTTGTTTTCAGCGGTTCACATCAGGAAAAAACTTCAGTCTCAACCTAAAGTTTAATCAAGGGTTATGAATTTGTCACAATAGTAATTCTTACGGTAAGTGCTGGAAAAATATAAATTCTACCATGCCTTTCACCATCCCATGCAGCGTCTTATTACGCTTAATTCTTTGTGTGCTACAATGTTAGCACAAAGAAGTTCTTGCGGTTTGAAAATCCAACCGCAAAGAAGTTCTTGCATTTCAAAAATCCTACCACAAAGAAGTTCTTGCGGTTTTAACTTCTAACCGCAAAATAGTTCTTGCGGCTTGCAGGATCCAAGCGCAAGCAACCCGCAAAAAGCTGCAAGAAGTTGACTTCTTGCGGATGCAAAAAGAAGTTCTTGCGCGTGCATTATGTTTGGGTTCTACTGTATGTTTGCTCAAATAATGTTTACAAATTGACAATGATTTTTGTTTGTGTCCATCAATGCGTTCATGGAGGTGGCTGCGAGTGTAACCAACATATCCTGCATCACACAGGTTACATTGAAATTTATAAACTAGGCATTGATGGTAATTTACAGTGACTGACTTGACTTCTCGAACTTAAAGGTCTTTGTTGAGTTTTCTGCTGATGAACACGGGCTGAATTGTGGTTTTGATTTTTGAGCTGAGGTCTGTGAGACGTTTCTTCACTGGATTAGCAGGGGCCTGATCTTTAAATGGTATAATAACTCAGATGGTGGGTGTAGCTGTTTTGGTTGGTGGAATGTGCTGCTGGTTTGCTCAACTGGTGCCCATTTTATGAAGCTTGATTTGGTGTAGAAATTTTCGTAGAGCTCTACGACTCTACGCTTTCATCACCAGTCTCCTCCTATGTGTTGGAAAGATACATTACCTCCTACTTCATACCTTTTACCGTAGTTGTGGATGTGGTGGCAACTACGGCGTTCGCTGTCATTGAAAAGCAATACACAGTGCACAGTTATTCGACTCGTGTCGTGCTTGTTCATTTTACTTGAACCATACAGATGTATTAAAACGTAATCAAACTTGTACAACGGTGAAAATTACGATAAAGGGCAAATGAGAGCGGTTGTAAGAAAGAAACCTGGAGTAACAAGCAAAGACTATAACTAAAAGGTGATAAAAACAGCAAGCACTTACAATCAGTGCTCCTTGAAGTGAACGACCATGTGCTACAGGTCATGTGATACTGGTATGAAGTCATGCCTGTCGTGTAAGTGTCATGAAAGTTCAACGGGCAAAAAAAGAAGGAGTCAAAATATTAAACAGCAATCTAAACAGTGTATTGTTAGTATGGTTACCTGCCTATTTCGTAACTTTTGATTTAAATTGGTAGCATATTCCTCGCATATATCTCATATATATTAACGTGTTATCACGGTTTACGGTGTTTTAATCGTTTTCAATTTAAAATTCTGTATTGAGTTTACCCTCTACCAGCTACGCTCTACCCCCTATGGTTCTATGTACAGGCATACAGGCTTACAGTTATTGTAGCAAATATTAAAGTGCCTGGGGATTGTCTAGTGTTATTGCGGTTATTGCTGGTTTTAATAATCTTTTTAATGTACAATTCTGTATTGAGTTTACCCTCTATGCTCTACGCTATATGTTCTATCTACATTCTACTCGCTACATTCTACCAGCTACTCTCTTCAATCTATGCTCTATGATCTACGATCTACCATCTACCCTCTAAGTCCATCTACGCTCTACGTTCTACCAGCTACTCTCTTCAATCTACACTCTATTCTCTACCATCTACCATCTATCCTCTAAGCCCATCTACACGTTAATCTCTGCGTTCTACCGGCTACTCTCTTCGATCTATGCTCTATGATCTACGATCTACCCTCTAAGCCCATCTGCTTGGGAGGTTATTGGAATTTTTTAATTTTTTTTTAATTTTTAACAAAGACTAGTGAGCAGCACAAAGTCTTCTTGCAGTTGTAAGATTTTTCGTTTATTTCCAACGTGCTTCTTCTCTGTCTGAGACTTCTTCAGGGAATGATTTACGCGTACCTAAGTTTAACTTCCCATGGAAGTGAATAACTGCTGAAACATGCTGTAAACGGACATTACAAGAAATACCTCAATGCACATGTCATTGTGTGTTGTTATGTTTTGGGGGCCATACTATTAGCGCTAACCGTATGGCCCCCAAAATAATTTATATAAAAAAAGGTTAAAAAATAAAAAAAAATTGAATAAAGATTAAAAAATTAAAACGTTAAAAAAAGACATTTTTTGTTTGGAAGGGTCCCAAAGAAATCCTATTAGAGTCTCTTAGTTTTCTCTATAGCAAGAATGATCATATCAAACTTAGGTACTAAGTAAGTATCTGTACATTCCCTTTGAGTCGTTTCATCCCGCGAGCAACAAGAGGGCCTTTATTAGAGGCGAGCTTATGTGCTATACTAGAAATAGCTCCACATTTAAAGCCTCTAGCGGAATGTGAGAAATTCTGGAAGTGCCTCCGGCTTAGTGGTTACCCAGTTGGGTTTCTACTTCCTTTATTCAGGGAGGTCACATACAGTAACAGAACTAAATCACTTTCGCTAAAATGTAAATCGCGCAACGGTAGAATGGTAGTCCTTAAATCTACATTTAACTGTAGTCATGCTAACTGATGTGAGGGACATTTTGTTATAGTGTACTCACAATAAGTGAATACTTAGGTCACGTGACTTTGAACGCTTAGTGAATGTTTTGCGACCACGTAGAGATGTTGTTTACTAGTTTTTAGGGTTGTAATTCATCGTAGAGATTGCTGTTCATTTCAAGTTTGAATAAATGGTTTAACTCAGAACCACTAACATCAAGCTGGTTATCTGGAGACATTTACCAGACTTAGACTGTATTGTCAGTTATAAATTTATTACTACTTTAGCACATCTATGTAAATAGTATGTTTTTGGGGGCCATAGATTAGCACTAATCATATGGCGCCCAAAATATAACAACACGTAATAACATATGCATTAAGGCATTTCTGATAACGTCCGTTTACAGCATGTTTCAACAGTTATTCACTTCCATGGGAAGTTAAACTTAAGCACACTTAGGTGCTATATATGCTGTTCAATGTTAGTTGTAATCATTCCCTGAAGAAGTCTCAGACAGACACAAAACGCGTCGGAAATAAACAAAAAAGCTTACAAGTCTTCGTTAAAAAATTTAAAAAATTAAAAAATAAAAAATTCCGATAACCTTCCAAGTAGATGGGCTTAGAGGGTAGATTGTAGATCGTAGATCGAAGAGAGAAGCTGGTACAATGTAGAGAGTAGAGTGTAGATGGGCTTAGAGGGTAGTTAGTTATAGATGATAAGATTGTTGAGCATAGATCGAAGAGAGTAGCTGGTGGAACGTAGAGGGTAGAGCATAGATGGCCTTAGAGGGTAGATGGTAGATCATAGAGTGTAGATCGAAGAGAGAAGCTCATAGAACGTAGAGTGTAGATGGGCTTAGAGGGTAGATGGTAGATCGTAGAGCGAAGATTGAAGAGAGTAGCTGGTAGAACATAGAGAGTAGAATGTAGATGGTAGAACGTATAGCGTAGAGCATAGAGAGTAGAGGGTAAACTCAATACAGAATTGTACATTAAAAAGATTATTAAGACACTGTAAACTGTAATAACACTTTAATAACACTATAATATATATGAGATAATAAAGGAAGCCAATAAATTACAATATTATTACAAAAAGCACAGCATCACAGACGATCGAGAAACTCACACTCGCAAACCAATATTTTTTAACACTATACTGGTTTTTTAAGCCTCTAAGCTAGTGTAGAGAGTAGTCAAAAGTTCTTGAACTGATAAACTCGTAAATACGTAGAGTGTAGAGCGTAGATGGTGGAACATGGAGTGTAAGACTTTAAGAGCGTAGCACATTTACCATAGATGGAAGAACATTAGCATAGAGCATAATCAGGGTAAACTCAATACAGAATTGTAAATTGAAAACAATTATTAAAACACTACAATCTGTAATAACATTCAACATTCCCTAAGCAATATAATATTTGCTACAATAACTATACACCACTACACCTCTACGGTTTACGCATATCCAAGAGAAACAGAGCTTAAACATTCAAAATACTACTGTAGAGTTGTAGAGGCCTTATGTGCCACGAGGCACAAAGAAGCTAAGTAGTAGTAAGTAGAGTTGTAGAGCTCTACGAAAATTTCTACACCTAATCTAGCTTCATAAAACAGGCTGGGTATAGGTCTGCTACCTTGGAATCTACGAATTGTTTGACAGCCAAATGGAATAAGTGCCTCAGGTACTTAAGCTTTAAGAATACAGTCTCAAGTCAATTGCATCCTTGTGAGAAGTACAACCAGTTGGAAGATGTGCGGAAAGCTCAACCTGACATGGTGGTAATTAGACTGTGCTTGTACCGATTATCCATGTGGCTCTGGTAGTAGAGTAAGAGACCCGTATTAGTTGGTTTTATGTAGACCTTGGGCATGATTCTGGGAGCTAAGTTTAACAGCTCAACACTGATGAAAGGAAGCAAGACATTCCTTTCCACCTCCATAGTAAACTTTGCTGATGGGTGGCAGTGGTTTAGGGTGTCAAGAAAAATTCCGGCTGATGCTATATCAGGCATGATGGTAAAAGTGACATCCACATATCGTTGATAATAGGAGGGCAATTTGCCATCTTGATCAAGTTTATCTTCAATGCAGCATGTAAAAACATTGGTGAGCAGACAACCAAGAGGAGATCCCATTGCAATGCCATCTGTTTTCTCATAGAGATTTCCGTTGAACTGAAAGAGTTGGTTCTTAGTGGCTGCATTGAGTAGTTTAATCAGCTGGTCTCTGGACAGGTTCAGTTCTTGGGTCTTGTTAAACCAATCATCATTGAAAGCCTTGTCAGCTAAAATCTGGATAGTCTCATCCAGTGGTACATTGGTAAATAAGGAGGTGACATCGTAGGATACTAGAATATCACCTCTGTTGATCTCAAGGCTCTGTACTTCGTTGACAAACTGAAAGGTATCTGTGACCGTGTACTGATTGCATGAGAGTGGTTTCAATTTTTCATCCAGCCACTTGGCCAACGTATAGTTATAAGTTTGCGTAGCAGAGAGAATTGGGCGCATAGCAAGTTGTTCCTTATGTGTCTTCACTTGCACACCTATATGGCCTACCTTGAGAATATTTGCCTGCTTATGTTTTAAGAAATCGTTATTGATCAAGATTGTTATTGTTGTTGTTATTATTCTTGTTGTTGTGACAAATGTAAACAAATGGAAATTTCAAAATTTCATTGGTTTAGCTTAAATTAATGGCTTGAAGAGATTTCTCTCTTTAGAAAGCCTAGGATTTATAGAAGTTAGATAAAAAAAAATCATTTGACATGGATGTTACTAACTTAGGATTTGTTTAGTAATTTACTTCTAGTGCACATACAAACTCAAATATACCATTTGAGTTCAGCGTAATTGTGCAGGAATTAAACTTGCTGCAGCAAAACGGCGTCAACATGTGATTGAATCCGATGGTGAAGATGACATTTAAGCTTAGCTGAAAACAACTTGATCAAGTTTTTCGTTGCACTTTCGCGTTTGCTAGATTTCAACCTAAATACACTGTACATCTTCAGTTCAATTCATTTGCATTGAGAAATGACCGTTTTCATTCAAACAATTGTCATTATTGCTTATATTTTGAGTATCCTAAACTGTAAAGTGTGGAAGACCATGTTCGAAATAAAATCAGTTGAACTTGGAGACAAACTTGTTTGACAAGTTGACTTCTCATCACCCAATCGTATGTTTTTGATGGCGGGTGTCACGCAAAACTGTCACACTCTCCCTATTGCACTAAATTTGTTGACTACAGAAGTTGGATAATAAATCTCCTATTAGATGTTTTGGTGTGTAGTATCGCTGTATATTTTTACTTGTTGTTCACTTACACCACTTCTTCACATCAGCATGACTGCATCTCAGCAACATCCTTGAACAATAACATCAAGCATTTGGCCTGTCTGGTGTCTCTTGATCCACAGGACTTCTCTGGTCAAAGCCTGCACCACGGGGGTGCCACCATTGCATTTCAATGCGGGATTCCCTCTGAGCTCATCAAAGTCCAAGGCGATTGGAAATCTGATGCCTACATGCTGTATTTGACACTGTCTTTGGCAGACAGACTTGTGCTGTCTCACGTCATGTCTCAGCAAATTCAGTCGTTCTAGTTCAATTTCTGTATTCTCATTTTCTTTTTTTCATTCGCTGATTTGTTATTCCCGTGCTTCCGTATTTTGTCTATACTTGGATACGTAGTTTCTTTGTTTCATTCAGAATGATTGATCTGTCACATATGTATATATTTTTTGTTCAGTTCCTTTTCTTTTTCTTTTTTCCTTTTCCCTTTTTCCTTCTCCTCTCCCTCTTCATCTTTCTCCTGCAAATCTTGTTTGGGCCTCTTCTTGGTTTGGGGTCTCCTCTCAAGGCCTCAGGGCCTCTTGCTTATTCAATAAAGATGCCCAAACAGATTTGCTGGTGGTCGATGTTGTCTGCGGGTGAGTGGGAGGGACATCAGGGGATAATTGTTCATATTCCTAGGAATAACTTAATTAGACCCAGGCCCTCACGGTTCATCACCTAGGTTGTGCCTAGTTGTGCCATATTTTGACGAGCCCATAGGGTGAGTCAAAATACGGCAAATCAAATACAAAACTCAAATCAAAATTCTGTCTTATCCTGGGTTAGCTCAATTGGCCTTTGAACAACCCAGCCCAGGAGCTCGCTCCGCTTTTAGGCTTGGCCAAGTCTATATATTAACTCCGGTTTTTTAAAGGAATCGAAAGCACTGCTGGAGACATAGGACTCATTTTTTTTTCTTTGGTGTCTGACATCTACACTGCAGACTCAAAAGACAAATAACATGGTTTGGGCAAAAGTAGAACATACCAGTAGTTGCAAATGTAGTGGGTTCTGTTCTAACAAACCCAAGAATCATGAAAGTAAGACGGCGAAATCATTTAACGCAGTTTTTTAAGGTTGTATTTGTGAAATCAACGCTGCGTACTCAAAGACAAACACTGCGTTTTGGACATAAGCAGTGTATCTCAATGTCTCCACTTCTACAAGCTACAGTATAGTCATCAGTTTAAAAAGATTTTTATTTATGGAAGCAATTTCTTTTTAAATACATCTCTACCTGAAAAAATGAATTGCTGAAAAGCTTTCTTTATTTTTGTATGCATAGGCTCCATTTCATTAAACCATCAGATTATGAGTTCAAGATTTCTAACGTGTGATACTGGTTGAGAGGGTCCAGTCCGAGACAACTGTCATGCATAGAAATCGAAAGCGAATAATCTAATTGTTTTAGTATAAATCTACTAGTCATTTAAAACTTATCTAAATCCTCTTCACGGACACTTCGAAAATGCAAAGTTCATTACCAACCACATACTACTAGGCTGCTCACTATCTACAACAGAATAGATAGTGAGTAGCTTAGCCAGTCAGCAATGGCATTCGTGATAGAACACTAGTGGATTTATAGTACACTGTAATTAGTATTAGATGCAAATTATTTTGCATCTATTTAAATTGTTCGGAATTGTGAAATATGCAAATTAGTCTAGCCTTGTGGAGTTCATGTGATATGCAAATTAGGGCCTCATGGTAGAGACATTGTGGAGACGTCTTTTTTGTGGTTGTCTGTACATTTTTTGAATGTGACAAAACGGAGCATTAAATCAGGAAGTGACTAGAACTAGTGATTTTATATTTGGTGTACCGGGTGAAAACGTCCCCACACCAAAAGTGGTGACCCTGCCAGGACATTGACCACACAAAATTGGATTAAAATGGATAAACAAATATTGAGCAACCGAATGGAAAATATAAACATGGTGGACATCGCTGAACAGAACTATAGTACATGTATGTGAAGGAATTAAATAAAGCAACCTACCATGTCAACGAGATCAAGGAAACGGTCAATACCAGTGTGAAGGAGGATTTGTTATCAGCTTATGAAAAGATATGCGATGTAAACAAGACCCTAGAGGCTTCGGCAAATCTTGTCAAGGATGCCATGTTGGAGGCGGAAAAATCATTTGAAGAGGTAAAGGGCTAGTCACACACTCCCAGGGAAGATTTTGTACCTATTCACGAGTTGAGAAGCAGACTTAGGATGAATTATGCAAACTGGAGAAACAGGAGTTGCAAAGACAGGAGGAAGATTGGTTTGAAAAGAAGCTTGAGCTCGAAATGGAACTGGAGAAGAAGAAGGTTGAGCAAGAAATGGCCAAGCCTCAAGCAGTGAAGTTGCAGAAGTACACAATAACACCATTCTATGGGGACTGTAAGTACTGGCTTCGATTCTGGAACCAGTTCGTTGTGGAAGTGGGTAGCTCAAAGATTTCTGAGATGAGTAAATTTAATTATGTGCTAGAATTAGTTAAGGGGAAACCGAAAAAGGACATCCTTGGGCTGCCACACACCCCTGAAGGCTATAATGAAGCAAAGAAGATTCTTGAAATGACCTTTGGAAAAGGTCCATAAGGCCTTAATCAAGGATTTAGAAGCCTTGCCAAAGATAAGCAGTGTTCACAAAATCAAAGAGGTACATGAGTTTTACACACAGTTGTCTAAGACAGTATGAACCTTAGCTACAATGAAGATACTAGAGGGTGCCCAGAGTTATGTGTACAGTATAATGGACAAATTGGGTCCTGTTAGAGAGGTTATGGCCCAAAAGGATGATGACTAGGAAGAATGGGGACTTGAGGAGCTAGTTGAAAATTTAAGGAAGTATACAGACCAAAACACCCTACCCTTAGTGGAATCCAGCCCACCGGCTTCAGTCGATACTGTACCTGGGAACAAAGACAGTCATCCAAAAAGGGAAGACAAATTGCTGATGTCCGGGGGAACTTATGACAGCCACCAAAGTCTCCACCTTGTGTCTTTTTGAAGTCAAGCCGAGATGAATTCAAGCAGATGTGTTTGCAGGAAGTCCTAGGACTATCAGATGAAGCTGTTGTGCAGGGTTTGTTCCAGGAAGATTTCAAAAGTCAGTTGCAACGTTTGAATGATGGAACATATTCAACCAGGTTACCCTGGAAGTCAGGTCATGCTCCTTTACTGTCAAACAAGGAACTGACATTGAGAAGGTTGCAGAGTACCACCCAAAAACTAGAAAGGATGCAAAAACTTGAAGAGTATCACACAGTTATGGAACAACAGTTGGAAGAACGAATTTTGGAGCTGGTACCTTAGGTACCCACAGGGAATGCGATTCACTACATCCCACATCAAGCGGTGATTAGAGATGAAGCAGAGTCTACAGAGATGAGGATAGTGTATGATTGTTCAGCAAAGCAAAACCTGCAGTCACCGTCATTGAATGACTGTCTGGAGGTTGGTCCACCCTTACAGCCAGTGATCGTTGACATCCTGCTCAGAAACAGAGTGAAACCTTTCTGTGTTACAGGAGACAATCAGAAGGCTTTTCTTCGAATCAAAATCAGTCCAGAGGATAGAGACGCCCTTCGCCTGTTGTGGTATGACTATTTGAAATAAAACTGTGGGCCCCAAATAGTTATGTCACACTTAAAATATGTCACACCTTAATAATATNGACGATCGAGAAACTCACACTCGCAAACCAATATTTTTTAACACTATACTGGTTTTTTAAGCCTCTAAGCTAGTGTAGAGAGTAGTCAAAAGTTCTTGAACTGATAAACTCGTAAATACGTAGAGTGTAGAGCGTAGATGGTGGAACATGGAGTGTAAGACTTTAAGAGCGTAGCACATTTACCATAGATGGAAGAACATTAGCATAGAGCATAATCAGGGTAAACTCAATACAGAATTGTAAATTGAAAACAATTATTAAAACACTACAATCTGTAATAACATTCAACATTCCCTAAGCAATATAATATTTGCTACAATAACTATACACCACTACACCTCTACGGTTTACGCATATCCAAGAGAAACAGAGCTTAAACATTCAAAATACTACTGTAGAGTTGTAGAGGCCTTATGTGCCACGAGGCACAAAGAAGCTAAGTAGTAGTAAGTAGAGTTGTAGAGCTCTACGAAAATTTCTACACCTAATCTAGCTTCAT